AACAACTTCAGATGTTGAGTAAACCAGATACATCGAAAACACAACGAAATTATAATAAAATACAAAAGTTCTCAATCAATCAGCTGTCTCCAGTTCTCTCGTAACGCCTAAATAAGTTAAACTATTAACCATCGGTTATTACTATGCATCTTAGGGTGGCTTGTTATAATAGCTTCATACTAAACCATTGTTCTTGATTGTAATATCGATTTCTTTGACCATTAACTGATCCTCGATTAGATTTTTCTTCTATGCACATTAAGAATAAAATCAAATATTTGAAATTTACAGCCCATAACTCTTTTGCTGTCTTTGGTTTATCTTTAAGTTTATCTGAAGGACTCTTGCTATTCGTTTTGTAAAACCCGGCACGCGACAAACATACACGATTTAGTATCAATTCATTGTCAAGTTGAATCTAACGGTGTGAAATGCAGTAGTGTTTGTTCCTAACCTCACGAAGTCACGAAACATCAGAAATATAATCTTTCTTCTTATTGGCATATGAAGAAAAGTATGTTTGTTATTAACCTCACGGAATTTCAATCTGAACATATAAATACTGAAAAGATTGACATTCAACATGAAACACTTCGAAGTCAAAAATGTTTACGCGTGAACACCGGTTTAGTATGGCACCGTTTGGCTTTGCAGGTGTGGTCATTTTTTGCAACTCATTCCTCGTAATGTTAAACACCTCATTTTATTCCCAGACCAAGTGTTATTTTTAGAAATGCTGAACATGACACCACTGATTGTTAGTTTAACGAGTCAGTATAGACATTGATGTGACCTTTAGGTAAGATTTTATAGACCAGGTGGTCACATCGTGACAGGCCTACAATTTTGGTATCGGTTCTATTGTTATGGTAGCAAACAAAAATGCTCTCATGCCGAGCTATATCACAGCTCCAGGAAATTCTTGGCAGAGCCTCAATGTCGGTAGCAGGATATAAATGCAAATATATGCCGTACAACAAACAATTTAGAAAGATCACCCTTCAAAGAGGACTTCACGGCCTGTGTCGTTTGGGGCTTGACAGTATATACATGCAGACTATAATGGTCAATTTTTTCGACAGTACTTTGCACTTGTAGTCATTGATTCTGTTACTAAGTGACCTGAAGTTTTCTTCAAAACTTCACCAAATTCTGACTTTGCGATTCAGGCACTAGGAAACATTTTTAGTTGAGAAAAGTTCACCATGGTCCATGTGTGCATGTTCCAATTCCCGTTGTTAGTCCAATTACCAATGTGTGCATGCTAGATCATATAGACTATATTTATACATATGAAGCCGTATCAACACGGCATAGACTCAAAGAGAAGACGCACAATCAATTACAGGAATCTCAGACACCAGTTAAGCTGCATTGGCTGCAGTATTCGTACAAACTACAAACTAATGATACTGAAGATGGCACAGGTATTCAGTGTTTGATAACGCTTCTACCAGTAACACCTTCCAATATAATTCGTAACCACCCAGAGAAACCAAAAGACAAAGTCGAGGAGATCGGAAGAGTGTATTTGGCGATTACCAAAATATCGGAACTCTCTGATCTAATCTGGCTAGCGATTGCGGTTGATGTTGAGCACAGCGTTACCACACGTGATCTGGTGCGGATGCATGACCGGGAGCCTTCAGCTAGATGAGTCCACTAAAACATGTAGTCAGCATCCAATGTCGAAAACTTACAGAGCTATTTATTTTGTGGATTTATTTACCTCTACAATACCTTTGCAGTTGATTTCCTGATAATTACGAATTCCGAATATAATACGTCCAGTTGCATATATCTGTAGTGGCATTGGACCATAACCACACAATCTTCAAAGCTGAACACTAGACTACTCAGAAAATATATATTCAATATTTAACGCGGAGAAATACCTAACAATGGAAAAGGCGTGGACAGTTAATTGAATGAATTAGAGTTGATCGAATGGCATGGCTCAGCCATACAGGCGTGGTCCCTGCTGAAAGTTACCTTATATCTTCTGTTCATATTAAATATAATGTTCTTTCTCTAGCCTAAGCTTGTTCTACATCATGTATTGGTAGTTGTTACGATACAGTGAGTTGGTGTAGAAGATGATTTGACTTCCACGTAAGATCTTATAGATTAGGCAGTTATATCCTGACAAATCTACAATTTTAGGATTATGTCTATTATTAGAGCAGTACTAATATCATAGTAGACCATAATTCTACATTGGTAAGCCCGACTAAAGAAACGCAGCCATAATTCTACATATCTACGTATCTTAAATTGCATTATTTTGAAAGTTCCTGATTGGAAAATCATCATAAAACATCATAGAGAATTCGGCGGGCAGCTCACAAGCAGGTAGATACTTTTGACCTCCTACATAACCCAGCTCTCCCATCCCATACACAGCAACAAGTGCAGGTGAAGACAGCCATTATGTCAACGGCCTCTAAAGAAGAAACTGAGATCCTAAAGTACAACATTTAGAACTTCAACCAGTCGCACTCGATGGAGATCTGGATGAGCTAGAAATGTGCTACTCATCTGAGCAGCATCAATGATAAACAAGGCTCTAAGTCACGGATTAGCAAATCGAAGACAGGATCACCAGAAAAGACTACGGTGTTAGATAGAACACACGCTGCCGAAGTCACCAAACTACATCTCAGATTAGGCAGTGACTTGAGGTCCTGAAGGGAAAAGGAAAAGCGGTCGACAAAGAGCACACTGTGTTGGAAATCGAAAGCAGATATCGAGAGAATGTGTAGCAGTTAGGAAATTGGGAGAAGCCGAGATGATGAGCCTAGGGTATTATAGGCTGGAGCATCACGGCATAAGGTTTATTTTCCATAAAGATCTAGTAAATATACTCGGCATTTCGGTTTATCCTCATTAGAAACCGGTTATTTACTGTGGCGTCTCGCAATTAATTTTGTGACACCCGATTTGTTAAACCAAGTAATGACAAACATTTCAAAATTGTTTTATCTCTTGTAAATGATCTTTGGTTGAAGAGTATTTCCAACCTGCACACAAGTGGAAGCGATTTGGTCCACTTTGAAACGTTTGCAGCTGAGAGTGAAAATTTTAGCTGTTCGTGAGAGCGTTCTATAAACCTGTCGGCTTGTTGATAGTAAGCCGTCGTTCGGACTCGTGTAGTTATTAGTGGTGTTGTCGGACAACGGAAATTTCCCTATTTGAACTGGTGTGCACATTCTATATTGATAGTTGAAGGACAGGCGAAGTTCTCGCCCACCGTTCAGCCACGGCGCTGGTCATCGTTTCAGCAGTAATGTTCCTGTATGGTACTGTTCCTGGCAATCCTGTGCAACGTCCCACACAAGACAAGAGATTGTGGTATCCATTTGAATATGGTAAAGGTGCTACTAAATCCAGATGAACATGGTCGGAACGAGCTTCGGGAGCTTTGAATGAGCTTAGAGGACATTTGTGTCTCATGACCTTAGATTTCTCGCAGCATATATAGAGGGACGTGTTCAGTCACTCACGTCTTTATCAACAACAGGCCGGCAGAATCGTTCTACTATGAGGTTGATGGTTGCTCGAGCACCTGGATAAGGAAACGTTTGCACGTACTGAAGACGTTGCGTCGATAATGTTTCAGCACGATTGGACGATCCCTACATGTAGATTTGTTAGATAATATCTCCATCTGTTTAGCACGCAGTTTTAAATTGTCGAGGATAACTTGTGCTGAAGACCAGTGTCTTCTTTTTGAAGCTGGGCGAGTTTAAGAAGGTTGATTCCTTGAAAACCGTTCAAGGATGTTATACAAGACAATGCGTCTGCAACTAAATTGTTTTCCCCAGGAATGTGCTGTATATCCGGAGTAAACCGGGAAATGTAGTCCACTTGTCGAGACTCTCGAAGGGAGTACCTGTTTGAAGATGAGCCTAAAGTGAAGTTAAGAGGCATGAGATCGGTGGAAAGAGTGAATTCTCAGCCTTCGATAGAGCGTTGAGAGTGCCATGCAGCAAACACATGGCTAGAACTTCCTTAATGAAAGTGCTATACCTCGGTTCTGTGTCTAGAAACTGTCTAGTGAAGAATTCCAAAGATTGCCATATCTGTTTAACTCATTATTGTAAGACTCCTTTGATTGAGCAGTCGAATGCTTCTATCGCAATGATGACAGGTGTTTTGGTGTCGTAATGTGCAAGCAATGTTACTTAGGGTGTGAGCTCCTAAACTGTAGAATGCTTCTTTGGCGATGTCCTCTGTATTGATGTATTTCTCATTTCCACGAATTTAGCGTTTAGGGTTACCTTAAGAGACGCTCTGTTCAGTGCGAATCGTAGAAAGACACCAACCAGGTCATTGAACGTACGTAATTGTTGATTTTGGTCTGTTCCGGGTAATCTAGAATGGCCGAGATACAGAAAGTTCTTTAGCGTTGTGTTGGAATGGGACAAGAACAACCTGTCACTAAAGATTTTAGGGATATATTCATTGATAGACTTCAACAAAACCATTTAATAACAGTGAGCAAATATGAACAAGTATATTACTTTGCTCATATTGTTTACCGAGATACTGAATGAGAAGTGCACAGTAGTGAAAGAAATTTAGCAGAATATGTTTTTCCATAACGTCAATGTTGTTGTGAAACGAAGCAATAAAATGAAAACTGTACCTTACTTGTACCGGGATTCTTCACAATAGCCATGAGCTGAAATTACATTTACAAGGGCTTCTGATATAATAATATTGCTTAACCTTTGATAATTAAAGACCAGACGACTGGGACAGATGCATTAGTTTGTACTAATGGTATGTCAACCTACAAATAACTCCAGATCAGCTTATATTAATGTTTTTGAATGACTAAACTACCCTCATCGAACTCTATTAATGTAATAGAACCGTGCTTTAGAGCGAAAACTTCGTGAAAATAAACCAAATGGCTCATATAAACACGTTTCGAATATCCTGTATATTGAATTGAGGAAAATGGCGTTGGGGCTTACCATGATCTTCTGCCGCGCAGTTTCGAATTTCTTGTTCCTCAGCTGTACAAATGGCCTTAAGGCGTATATCGAAAGTAAGGACATGTCCAATATTTTTGTGCAGCAGAATCGCTTTATTTAGGAGCTAAAGGACTTACGTCTTGATCCTCCAACCCAGTGTTCAGCTGGACCTATTAAAGATGATCGTAAGTCAATATATGTTGTATTAGTTTACATTTAGTGTTTGCCTGGCAAGCCACTATTATGGGACCTGTATGTTCGTTTATTCCGTAATAATGTACCTGTAGGCCGATAGTCCATATGAAGGTGGGATATTCTTCCTGGAAATACAGTTTCCCACAGACTACCCTTTCAAACCCCCTAAGGTAAGCGTTGTATCACTCTCAAGCCAGCCTTGTGACAGATCAGTTTCATGACGAAAATATATCATCCGAATATAAACCTCAGCGGTCATATATGTTTAGATATCCTCCGTGGACAATGGTCACCAGCCCTCACAATATCGAAAGGTAAACATTCATATATAAATACTCAATTTGTGTTTAAATTAGTTCTACTCTCAATTTGCTCACTATTGACGGACCCCAATCCAGATGATCCTCTATGCCCAGATGTCGCACGTCAGTACAAAACAGATCGTAAGAAATATGATGAGTTAGCTCGAGAGTGGACACAGAAATATGCTATGGGACCTTAATGCAGTCAATACACAAAACATTTCGATAGACATATTTTCTCCTTTCTTCTTGTACTCATTGATGACGTACGTGTTACATTTAAAGTCGGTTGATTTTTTTCAGCCCTCGATTAACCTTACTTTCTTATTCTATTCTTACTGGTTTGTCAGTTGTGCGTTTGTGAAAATGCTCTTAAGGTTGTCACGAGTATTTCTTCTTTTTTCGAACAAGACTTGTGCCGTGTTTAGTGACAGTTGGCGGTACAGGTTGGTTCATTCAGACGTTTTCATTTGTTTAAATATTTAATTGTATCAATTCACTTTACGAGAAATTCATTACTTGGGCAATTGCTGCTCGTGATACTCATCATCTAATCTTCTCAGAATTTAGTAATCTGTTTATATTTGACCAAAGCTATTAAAACTTGTGTTTATTCAAGAGATTGCTTTAAGGAAAAGTCTGATTTCATGTTGGGAAGAAGATTGCATCAATGAGAGTATCGGATTTTACGGCAGTCTAATCTTGTTTTCCAGTAGTCTGTTTACTCTTGTTAAGGAGTGTATTTTCGTTAGCATAATACGCTTATTAGTTTGTATGAGATTTTTAGTGACGATCCTAAGCATAGTTCTGTAGTTAATTCATATAACTACTGTTAATTCATCCGTTTTAACATAGTCCCTGTATGACTTCCGTTGGCTGACGAGATTAACGCCTCTGGATTTGCTTCATAGTACTGGATCATGAACAGAATAATTACTTATCTTTCAACCTTTCTGAATTTCGTATTATGAATTAGAATTCGTTCCAATCTATGCAGTTATGTAGAAGTGTTGGTAGAAAATGTTACACTGTTATTAACCAGCGTTCCACGAGCAACTATTTAGTCAATATCAAATCTCCATTTATTACCTAGAGCCTTCTTTTGATTGCCTATTGGTTACTTTGATGACCCTATTACTCTTATGATCGTGTTGTACTCGATAAGAAAATGCTTTGGATCACATGATTAACGAGAATGTTTTTATCATGGAACCTATGTGAAAAGAAAGCTGAAGCCTGTAGTTTATTTTACTATATGGACAGTTGTTCGTTAATCAATAAGGTAATTGGTAATATTTGATACTGACTGCAAAGCTTATTTCCAGTAGTGGTTGAGAGTATTTACAGTTCGTATCTTAATCTTCATGAACGATAATGTTGCTTATGTGTCGTCCCTTCGTCTTCGATCGTTTATTCATTAGTACACTGAAAGGTACAGAAAATCACAACTCTTATAATTTGTCAGTAATTTGTATGCCAAGTAGTTTCTGGCTAGTGATACTGGGTCCTTGCCATGGTAATCGATGACGCTTCACTATCTCATTAAGCGATTTGTAACATTTGACTAGTATCCTATGCTTAACATTGAAACAAGCAATACATACAGGAAACCTATGGTCAAAATTATGTAACTTACGCTGTCACTGAAGTATGTGGTGTATTTTCAAATCATGTTGTTGGTGCACAGAAAAGTGTGATGAGATGATTCTACCACATCCTGACACTTGTTAAAGCCTCTTCCGAATCTGAATGAACAGTGTTTTGGATTCGAACAAAACAGTCAGTCTATTTTCCGAACTTCGGTAGCGTAAAGTAAGAAGACAGTTTGATCCGACAATGAATATTATTTATTTGCCCAATTCAATCTTAATAATAATCTGGCCATATTTATTTACAATTGATCACCGGGTAGTGATCAGTGTTATGTGAGTCAAGTCTTTGTTAGTGCTGGTTAAATGTGGTCACTAGTGTAAGTGATTCGACGTTGTGTGCACTATGTTAAAACAAGATGGTGTTTAGAGGTAGTCGTCAGTGGACGCTATACCTAGGTTCTATGATGCCTGGTACTCTTCAATAAGGTGTAATTTTAGCGTTGAAGAAAGTCACCGGCAGTTCGAATAACGTGATACTAACGTCCTTGATTGTGAATTTGGTTGTAACTCGTGACCGGATGTGTTAGGGAGCATCAGTCCCTTCAAGATTACAGTCACACCTTGTTCGAGAGTGTGAGATATCACTGGACTTAGGTCAAGCTGGGGATCCTGCCGACTGCTTTCGGCTGCCACCTTAAATGATGATGCGTATATTTGTCATTCATATATGGAAGCTAACGAAGGGTGAGTAATTGTAATGTGCTGTCATTGTGAACAACGGAGAGAGAGAGAGCGCGTTGTATGATGTCGATAAAATAAGTTTTTATATCATTCTAAGCATTGAAGTTGATTTACCAGGCTATGGGATGCAAGTTTAGGACAAATTATTTTTGTACTCATTGTCTTATAATCCACTCATCCTTCGATTTGCATTTATCTTTTAATCGGTTGACATTCATTGTTTCTTCTCTCTGTGTATGTGTAAATGCCTTGAGTATGTATGTGATCTTTGATGGAAATGTCTACTGTACATATATATAACACCAGGTTTTCACTGTGAACTGTCTTTTTAATAGTATTAGAAGTGGGAATTTGTGCTTACTGTCTGATAATCCCAATGGATTATTATATTAAAACTGTAAGCATTTAATTTCTAGATTTAATTGTATTTTGAGGATTTCAGAGTACTGGTGATCAAACTGTACAGACTATTGTTAATTCATTGTCTATAAACTATAATTTATTTTGAACTTTACTCGAGTGGACAATATTGAGGCGAGTTTCTGAATAATGAGTAAATCTGGAAATTGGTTAACGATGTTGGTGCTGTAGTGAAGCTTAATTGATCACGTTGTATGAAATATGTATCATGTAACCGAGCATCCTTTCACCTCACATTTAGATGTGGGTGTTTTTGAAGAATGCTAGGTGTGTGTAGATTCAAATGTGGTATCATTCCATGAATTCACTGAGTGTTGGACTGAGTTTAACGTGTGGGTGTAGATTACTTGATTAAGGTTCGAGTGGTTATCGTGACCAGCGATTAGAATTGTTGAATGACATAACTGAGAATCGACCGCAATGATTCATGTAGGTGGATTGACAGTTCGCTTACCCATTGGATTTGCAAACTATTTTATGCTGCAATTTTATTCCTTCTACTCGAGTCATAACGTCCATGTCTAGTGTTTCGTACTCTCACTGATACTGTTATCACTTTCTTGTTTGTCTTTATAATTTTACGGTCTTCTCGTATATGCTGTGGGGACTCTTTCTTCCTGTACTTTGTCCTTATATGGAATCTTTTATATATTACGACCACTGAATTAACTACGTTTATGATTTTATTGTTCTTCTGGTTGTGCTAATATGGTATGGTAACTTGGACCGATGCACATGTGTGCTTGGTCCTACGCTGTAGCTGACTAACTGGAGATTCGGATTGATAATCGCATGTTTCTTTCTACTGATTTCCAACTGTTATTTGTATGACATTTTAGCATTTTTCATGAGATTATTTTATCAAATTTTCATACATGTGTTCACTCCATAGTATTTTTTGTATACCAATTGTATCTTCTTGCTGATCAAATTCCTGCCGTTATATTGTGTTGTGTACTCTAGTTCGCTGTGTCATTAATATTTACTTGTAATTATGAAGGACATGATGCTCTTTGACTAATTTTATTTCTTGTCACCACGATCTTTACATTTAAAGATGTTAACATTGGGTCCTTCTGACCAAGAGTAACCTTCTGTAATACTAATTCCCAGTTCCAATTGATTGTTTATTGAGTACTGATTCATTTATTCCTAATTTGTTAGGTTAATACTACAAATGTAAGCATAGTTATTTTGATTGCCTCATTGACTAACTGATAATACATTTCACTTATAATATCAACATATTAGAACGTCACTTTAAAGAGGGAGTTTATTTAGTCACTTATGTTAGAATGGTTGTATGTTGTTTCTTTTTTCTCCCAAGATTTGGGAAGTATGCCTCATTTATCTCTACTATCAACAATAGATGTTCATCAATATGATAGAAAAAGTGTTTCACAGTGAAAAATATGATGCTCTTATTTGAATAATCTGATTAATTTCAAAATGTTTCACCTTATGATGAAACCATTCATCAGTAGTATACTTATGGTGAATCTCTAATCAATCAATCTATCATATTTTAATAGTAATGAATTTTTCAATGAGAGTCAATTGTTATGTTTTTCTTCTATCGGTGGATAATATTTAATATGTGTTCACTAGGCGAATCATTAGTCGAACAATGTAAATGGTAGCATAAAGATAACGATAATTAAGGATTTATTTGTCGTGTGAAATGAATCAGAAATTGACAGATTTATATGAATTAAACTGATCAGTAATTGACAGTCACTATTTCATAACTTATTGTATGAATACAAATACACAATATCATACAATAAAAGGTAGTAAACAGACAACCCTAAACCTAAGTTTCATGCTACTTGGCACTTGTCAGCATGGTGTACTTGTAATCTTAAGGGAACTGATGTTCCCTGACGGATTCGATCCTATTTCACTTAGCTTGGTCAATAGGATTCGATTTGCACCAAGAGGGACCTGATATACATAAGACTGATCAATCAATTTGTAAATATCATACGATTAACGAATGATAACCAATAGATATAAATAATTTGCTAAGTTATGAAATTACATCGTACTTCATTGCGTCAATTTTGTTTAGTAATTGACAATAATGTTTAAAATCTATTGACTTGGTATAGTTCCCGTTATATCTTCAATTACATTACTCATCAACGCTCCGATTTGAAGCAGTCAGTAATTTATTTAACGAGACTAACTGATTATTTATTGTTCCTGAATTTGATTTTTGAAAGATACATCCTAATATTGTTTCCTGAAGTATATAACAACTGTAAGATCTAAAACACGTGTTTCGTCTTACTTTTTATTCAAAATTGTATCTGTTATTTTGTCGAATTACTGAAATTTGTTTAAAAGTCCTAGATAATTCACTTGGCATCAGTGCTTGAAGTCACTAACTTCTAGTCTGAGCCATGTTGGTAGATGCAGACTACTTGGTTGGGGTTCGCATGACTATCGTAACCAATGGTTGGAGACTGGGTGACATGATTCAGAATCAATCACAATGGTGTCGGTGTATACACTCTCTGTCTTCCCTTAAATTATGGATTAAAATTGCTTTATATATTTCTTTCTACGAACTAATCCTTTCTTCCTGTACTATATCCTCTTTCTTTTATATATTACCATCACTGAATTAACTGAGTTTATAAATTTGGTGTTCATTTTGTTGTACTAATGAGGTATGGCAACTTGGACTGATTCATCTATGTTCCTGGTCCTACGTTGTAGCTGACTGACTGATTTAATATTGTGATCGTGATCAAGTATCAATTTGTCCAAGGAATGTGAATCTCATTCTTGCTTATGTATGTTATATTCGATAAAAATTTGAAAATGTTTTTTACTGATTGTCTCCTTAGTAAATATCGAATGTTTAATGTGATCCTAACACCAAAAAAACGCTACTTATTACATGTCAGGAGTGACATATGACTTTAAGGCACTAAGTTGTATTCCGTACCAAGCCCCAATCGTTATTATTTGGGTGACTAAATAGGACCATGTACTCATATATACACTGAGTGTAGATAATCTACACTTAATGATACAGTCTGACGTCGGCTGGATAACTATTTGAAACTAAGGTACATTGAACAATTAAGTATTGGCATGCAAAGATGGATAGTGGCTAGCAGTGTAATCCAAAACGCGCGTTTCGTCCCATTTGCGACTCGTCAGCTGGATGTATCTGTATCTTCGTTGCAGTCCTGAACATCAATGGTAAGATTCAAACAAGCAATATCAAGTGAGTTTACTATTTGGTTCTTTTTGTAAACTTCGTCAGTGCCAACACCTGAATCTACCACAGGACCTATAATTCTATTATCTCGTAAAACACTAGACAAGATTGTATTGTTTAACATCATTAACCTTCACTCAACTGGGAAACCATGATCTTAATCCAACGGTTGTTGAAACAGTCAGTCAGTAACAACGTAGAACTTCGTACGTACGTACATCAGCTCGAGTTGCCATACCAAATTAGCACAGAGTTGTAGTTGTCGACTCGAATTCCGTAGTGGTAGAGGTAGTAAGAGTATAAGCAGTAGTCGGAAAGATTAGGGTTTGAAGATGTTATTTAAAGAGTATAATACAGTGAAATAAACTTGGAAAGAGAAAAAAAGACAAGGAGGATTCAGGAGATTAGAATTCGGGAGAACACAAAGAGTGGATGCACCTGTGCCATTGCAAACGATATTGAGCCATGTAATTCAGGGTCCCTAACCATCGGTTGCTATCATCTCGCGGTCCCCAACCAGGTAGTCTACACCTACCAACATGACTCAGTCTACTTCTCAGTGACTTCATGGACTTGTGCCATGTTTTGGTCTGGCCGCCCCTAGCTTTCTTCCAATCTACTCCTATACAACAAACATCGCACATCGAGGCAGTCGGTGGTTGGGCATACGTAACACATGTCTCAGCCATCTCAACTGATGAAGTTTCACTACCTCATCAGTTGATTCGCCATCCTAACCTAGTACCCGTTTCCTAACAACTGCGTTACTTACTCGATGGTCCCAGGATATACGAGCAATGTTTCGAAGACGCCTATGATCATATACTAGTAACCTACGAATATCCTCTACTCTTACCGGTAATGTTTCACAGCCATAAAGTAGGATGGAACGAACTGCTGCGTAGTAAACACGTCCTTTGGTTGATAGACAGATATCTCGCCTACGGTTCTTGAAACTTCAAGAATGAATTTCAAAAATCGATCGCTAGTATATACATAGTTGTTGAGATGAAATTTAATTATCTTTCACAAGCTAATTTCTATTAATATAACAATCCCTTGATATTCCATCGAAATTCTCAATGTTTTCACATTTCTTAATATACACACATATCTATTACTAAATTGTCATTTGATTATTGATTTATGAATAGGTGATTGTTTGTAACTCTATAAAATTACGTAATTGTTATCGTTTCCTACGAATATTAAAATACAAGAATGTTGGTTGGTACTTATCAATTTCTTATGAAAAAACAAACAGACAGACATGCAGTGTGTATTAATGTATTGAATGGTTTACTGATTTAGTTACTGAGTGATTGATGATAGAAATATGGTAACAGATGGTAGGTAATCGATAGATAAACAAACAAAGAATATTTAAACAAAATAGACTTAGTCTACCCATAGTTACTATGCAAGGATTTATTGACGTTGATTTGATGAATGATTCCTTTGCTAACCATAATTTTCCTACATACTAGCGTCTTTTTGTATGTCTTGATAGGTTCTCTGATTGAACGGTTGAATCGGTTTCCTAAGCTCTTTTAATTAACCCAAGCCGAATTTATACGACAACTTGAACTCTAGAGAAAAGGTGCGAAACGCGAAAAGAACTTACTGTAAACTTAGTTTTTGTACAGGAAAACCGAGGGTATTAATAGCATTTCAAATGGCCTTTGGCTTCTGGAAGGTTCTGAAATTCCACTAAACATAGTAGCAGGATAGGTAATTGTCCAATCAGATATGTGACAGGTGATGTCACTTTTTAGATGTTTCTAAGGAGATTTCACGCAATGCTGACTGGATAACATGTCTCCCAGCCTTTTCAGGTCTCTTCTGGACTCTGAATCTCCCCCAACATTACTGTATTGAAACATGTAGCTTGTTCATATTTGTCTGTTATATCATTTCGACTGTTCGACATTTATGACATTGGAGAATATGCACACATAACACTGCATCTCCTCACTATGCTTCACTGCCTTGTGGGTCAGATCTTTAGGTCGGATGCTCCGGGTGTGGCCCCCTAAAATAACCACCTGTTTCGGTTCGGGAGCCCGTGCAGTGTTACAGCCCTCACACAAATCTAATGAGATTTGTGCGGCTCATATGTATGCGGTGTCCCCTTGTACTAATACCTTTGTGTTCAAATAAATAGATATTCTTGCTTATTCACATGGTATTCGTGATTGCTTGACTGATTAATGAAATGCTAAACTCTTTAAATAATTAAATTGACGGTAACCAACAAGACTGATTTTTTCTAAAACCGGATCGCAGAATATAGAACCAAAAGTCAACCGATTGAATGTTTATAAAAAGGATCTTTAAGTTTATCACTAATATGTATTAAATATCCTCTCAAAAGTTTGTCAGTTAGTTGTCCGATGTAGAACTTGGCATACGTGTGCATCGGTTCAAGTTTCCGTACCATGATTTCGAGTGATGTTAGAGGTTTGAGTGGAGTTGTTACTCCCTTATTTATCGATGTTATGTGAGTTCCTCAAAGGAAATAATTGAAAGAGTTTTGTGAGTGGTCGTGCGCAGACCAAATTGCGACACTACAGATGATTGTGGAGTAATAAATTGGATGCAATTTGTCACAATAGATAAACTTCCTTCACTATGAGAAAGAGTTATGTAACCCACTTCGACCCTGTAATCTACCTGAAAATATCGTCAACATCATACAGAATTCATACGATGGAGTACATTACAAAGTCGTGCATAGATGACAGCTAATAGATACATCCCAAGTGAAGACCGGAGTCAGACACGGCTGCTCACTCTCCCTATTTCTCTTTCTTCTGGTGGCTGACTAGATAAAGAGGACCTCCACATCTAAGGGGAAGCACGGAATACAATGGACAGCTTGGAAGCAACTAGACGATTTGGACCTAGTCTTTTTTATCAAAATTATTTATTTGAATATTGGTACAAAAAGGCACCAAATACATATGCGCAAAACAATAACAATGAGGCCAGTAGTAGTCATCGTTGACTTATGTGAGGGATGTGATACTGCCCGGGTGTCAAAATCGAAGCAGGTGATTTTCTTAAGAAGCCACACCTGAAACCTTTGGCCTAAAGCTCTAAACCATAAGATTGTAGAGTAATGTTAGGAGAGACGGTCCCATGGTAGCCAGTCACCAAAAATATGTTCATACGCCATTTGTTCAT